TTGGGCATCATGTATTCGTCGTCTCTCCGGTTGTTGAAGTTCCCGCACATGCCACAGGTCAGGTTGAAGTAGGTGGTGGGCACCTTCACCTCCACTGAGTGGTCAGTGTCGTAGGACACTGTGAGGCTGAAGTCTGTCTCCAGGACGATGTAGCGGCCGCTCTTGCTCACCGTGATCGCACCTCCCGCTGCCCTCACCGGCAGGGTCTGGCGCACGCCGTTCACCTAGGGCAGACACAGCACCATGGGCCCTGGACTTGTCCCTGGCCTCCCCGGGGTCTCCTGCCTGGGGAAAGCAGCTGCCAGGCCAGGCACGGCAAACAGCTGCCTGGGATACCCTCACACCCCACACCCCTGGGGCCCACAGAGCCGTGTCTGGGTCCTGCGCTCTGCAGGGGCCTCTGCTCAACACAGAGCACATTCCTTGGTTGCCCCTTCCTCCTCCAACCCCTCTGGAAGGGAAAAACAAAGGGGCCCAGTGGCTTCAGGGGAACCCCCCAGGCCTGGAACAATGGAGACAGCTGGTACATGCCAGGCCCCGCCAAGAACAGCCAGCCCTGCCTTGCACCCACACCACGCCCGTGCCAGCCCCGCTGCCTACCAGCACTTGGCTCGTCTCCTGCTTGAGGATGGCAATGCGCTGTCCGTACACCTCAACCAGCACTTCGCGCACGTAGGACACCCTGCTGTTGCCACGATGCTCGTTCTTGGCCTCCACATTGAAGTAGGGCAGGGAGGTGGTGTTGGAGCACACTTTGGCCAGGGTGTAGGTGCAGTTGCCCATGAAGTTGTGCGTCACCTTGTCAAAGGTGTTGTAGTGAGGGTCCCCGTGGACGTGACAGATGCCGTAGGAGTGTTCGAGGCACACGGGTTTCCCACCCTGCACCCCGCAGTACTGGCCCGCAGGGCATGAGGCTTCGAAACACTGGACTTTGCTTCCCTGTGCAGGACACGTGCACTTGGAGGAGCAGCTGTTGTCCGTCCAGAACTCGGAGCCCACGGGGTAGTGCTGCCCGTTGTGCCAACACCCGCACTGCTGGCTGGGCACACATCGGTCGTGGTAGAGCAGGTACCCGCTGTCACACACACAGCCCTCCACGCATGGCAGGCTGCAGGTGACTGGAGCCATTGGGTCAACACAGGTGGCAGGGCAGGCAGCAGCACAGGGCTCATAGTGACTGTTGGCCGGACAGGTGATCGCTGCAGAAACAGAAGATGTGGCAATTACTTGCAGAACATAACTCAACACTTCTTTTGAGGTATTTTCCCCTTTGAAAAAGTAACGGTCTCTGTTTTCCCTCTGGTCTGCTTGGCTCCATGTGTGTTCTCAGTCCTACCCAATCAAATGAAACAGCAAATGTGATGGTGCCTCTAATACAGACAACTCCCTGTGAATCCCCGCAGTTCACAGTGAGAATATTTCTCTGCCTCACTCTTTCCTTCCTGTCCTGTGTTTTCCCGAGAGTGACGATCTGTGCTACCACGTGTGGACTTACGGCAGAAGGTTGTGTTCCTCCACACGGGTATCTGGACCCCAAGGGCCTGACAGGCATCCACATAGGACTGCAAGCTCTTGCACAGGGTCTCCTGGTCCAG